TGCCTCGCGCCCGCGGGCGCCTCCTGCCGTAGTGGAGGCCGCAAAGCCGCCCGGCTGCTCGCCGGACTTGCCTTCGCCCAGGCTGGGGCCTTGACCAGCTTGTTTCGCTGCTGCGCCTGGGAGCTGTTAAACCAGGAAAACTACTAAAACCACTTCCCAGGCGAAATCGATCCCAGCCCTGCCAGTGCCCCAGAATCTGTCCAGTCTGGGACGTGTCAGAGGCTGGGAAGAAAAAGTTAGAGGAGGTGTCAGTGAGAGAACTGTTGACATATGCCTCTCAGGGCAGTACTCCTAGCCCAGGAGCCTGGTCGTCGTTGTGTCCTGGGCTTTTATTATGGCATCTTCAATTATTTTCCAGTTCACCCCAGTACTGAGTGGCCATATGTCTGGCTTCCTACAAGAATGAAACTGAGGGTTCTAATGTATCCTAAGGGCTCTAATTTATCCTAAATTACTTTGTGAAGTAGTTTTAAAGGCAAATTTTCTTCAACTAGAAGTCAGCGTGTTCTCAGCAGCTGTGTGCTGTGGTACGGATTCCATATTTTTTAAACTATCTGCCACACATCAAGCTAACAGTGCCCAGTGTCCCACATTCTGAAGCTTACAATGAAGGAAACCTTCCATGTAAACAAATGCAATGCAATGTATTAATACTAGTTATGGAAGGACCTACAGAGACTTAGAGACAAGGAAGATAGTTCCTGGAAAGTCGAGAGAGTTCACAGTAAATCTCTCTGAACTGTGTTTTTTAAGATTAACGGGATTTCTCAAGCAAAAAAAATTAGGAACACCTACACTAGTTGTTACAGATTTAAAAAAAAAAAAAAAACACCTACGCTAGTTGCTAGAAACTTTTAAAAAAGGCTAGGAAAACAAGTAAACTAACAAATGAAATAGTTAAGGATTGTATTAACTTGTTGGAAAGAAAAAAAAAAGAAAAATACAGGTTGCCGAGGATAATTCTGCCTTGGGAATAAGGGCGGTTCAACGCAGTGCTATAGATTTAAGCGCAACCTCGTATACGAACTGAGTACTGGACATTTCCACACAACCAAAGCACATGATACACAAATAGAGATAACTTTCACAGACAAGTCAGAAGGCATGACTATAGCAGTCCACTAATTCCCACTGCTTTCCCAGCACGCTGGCGAACTCCCACCTAGCGGCAGGAATCCACGAGCACGTGGGGGTTTTACGCATGTGCCCTGAGTCATCTTGAAGTAAAATGAGACGCTGTGTTTACCTTCCTCTCAACCAGCTTCCGGAACTACTTATATCTCGGTTTTCCTAGACAGCCTTAGTTTTCAGCCTTTCAACAAATGTATTTCACTTAAGGGATCTGCACCCACACAAAAGCACTTCTTCGCCTAATCCATTCTTAAGCCGCTACCCACTTCTTAGGAGCACAGGCGAGGGCGAGTCTGCGCAGTACAAGCAGCAGAGCGCGTTCCGGGTTCTGGCACACCGTGTTCATGCCCTTCTTCCGGTCCGGAAGGCTGTACCATTCCGTGTCCGATCGTTGTGTCTGTCCTAATTCACACATGATTTTCCGAAACAAGATGTACTAATGTTGGCCACAAGAAGATTCCTGTCTCCCTAACTATTACTATAACTGCTGTCTATATCGTTGCGTCCCTGAGGCGCCCCCGCCATCCTCGAATGGTCTATACCAACTTCACCTCCGGTTCTAGGTGTCATGGCTGCCTGGAGAGTCTAGCAAGAGTTTGCACCTGGGGTGGGAAGGGTCCGAAGCCCACACCCAGAGACCTAGCAAGATAAAGTTGCGTACCGGTTCTGGAAGCGACACCTTCTCTAAATCTTCGACGATGGCGGCGTCCGGGAGCGGTATGGCCCAGAAAACCTGGGAATTGGCCAACAACATGCAGGAAGCCCAGAGTATCGATGAAATCTACAAATATGACAAGAAACAGCAGCAAGAAATCTTAGCGGCGAAGCCCTGGACTAAGGAGTGAGGAGGTCCCTGGCGAGACGCAGGGGAGGGGTGGGGTGGCGGGAGTGTAAGAGACCAGGGGGAGAGGGAGTTAAAGACGTTGCAGAGCTCGTCTTGTCATGGGCGGGGAAAGGAAGAATATGTCCCAGGCAGATTTGGGTCTGGCATTATTCCCGCAAGTAGAGCCTGAGCCCCTTTGCTGAGGCCTGCTTCGACTCTCCTTTCTATTTCTTTTACCCATTTGCCTCTGGACAAGGTAATGGTAACAAGCGGTGGTTTAAGTTGTCAATTCTCAACGCCTATGCTGTCATATGTGCTTATACACCTTGTGGGGACCTTCAGCTAACCCCAGACGGGTACCGCAGCGATTCTCAGAATGTAGTCAGGAGCCCAAGGGTCCTCACTTCTACTACGAGTGAGCCTTTTTTTCCCCCCCGCGATCTTTGCTGGGTTTTTTTTGTTTGTTTGTTTTGGTTTTTGAGAGGTTTTTGCTATAGGGTGCGTGCGCTCGCCAGTCCGAGAGAGAGAGAGACAGAGAGACAGAAAGCGAGAAATCACCCCCCAGGGAGGATGGCCACGCCGCAATCCCTTCTTCTCCATTCTCCTCTCGGAATCCTGGGCACGCACACGCGCCCAGCGTGAGTTTACGCCACCAGGTCCAGGACTCGAACCGTGGTCGACTACGTGGGAGTCCAGGGACATAGCCATTACGCTTAACTGCTGGTCCCCTTTGTTGGGTTTTTGATAGTGGTAATTATTTTAGGGGCATGCTTAGGCTCTGCAAAATAGAGCTTCAGGCTCTTGATGTTTAGCAAAATCTCTTTATCTCTGGAAGACATGGCAAATTGAGGGGTTTTGTTTTGTTTTGTTTTGTTTTGTTTTAATTTGCTAGAGAATGTGCTCTCACAGGAGAAAAAGTGAGAAAGCAGCCCCTGTTGGAGTTGGCAATCCCTTCCTTATTTCTCATTTTGGAATTTGAGGCTTACGCGCACACATTATGTTTTTCAAGCAACTGGGCCTAAAACTCCAACTGCACAGTCGGCCATGTGGGATCCAGCCACCTTCCCCACTACCACTGGCTGGCCCAGCAAGTGAAGGATTTTTTTGACCCATAACATTATTCTTTCCTGAGAACAGTCTTTGATACAGACAAAAAGAGCCCAAACTGACAAATAAATAGAAAGTGGAGCCATAGTCCATGACAGAACATGGTTCATGTGCCTGTTTTTACAAGGCTAGCTCTGTATTCATATTCAGTCATGTTTATGAGTACTTAATATGGGGTAAGTGTTGAGGTATGAATAACCTTATTTATTTATTCATTCATTCATTCATTTATTTATTGGTTTGTCAGATGACAGGTGTGCTGACCAGAGACAGACAGAGAAAGACAGAGGGAAAGTAGGAAATCACCCCATAGGGGGCATGGCCACACATCAATCCATTCTTCTTCTTTCTTGCCCTGGGATTTTGGGCATGTGTGTGCTCACACATGCTTAGGTCCCAGAACTCGAAATGTGATTGGCCATGTGGGAGTCCAGCACCTTAACCACCATGCCACCTGCTGACCCCCTCCATATGTTATTTAATCTTCATGATAACACAGTTCTGTATTTTCATTTTTTTTTTTGTAAGTGAGAAAACAAGCAAATGCTTTAACTTACCTCATGATCCTACTGAGACAATGAACTCTTCTTGAGTGATAGTCAGGCCTAAGGTCCTTCTCACAACTGTCACTGAGTAGTTGGTTGATCTTAGGAAATTTAATCTGTCTTCATTTATATGGAAAATAGATATAAGACCTACATATTGATGATGTCATAAAGATTTCATGAGGTAATGTATAAAAAGGATCTAGAATGTATGTAAAGAATGTATGTTCTCGGGACCAGCAGTTAGCGTAATGGCTATGTCACTGAACTCCCACGTAGTCAACCACGGTTCACGTCCCGGACCTGGTGGCTTAAACTCACACCTGGCGTGTGTGCATGCATGCCCAAGATCCCGAGAGGAGATTGGAGGAGAAGGGATTGTGGTGTGGCCATCCCCCCTGCATGGTGATTTCTCACTTTCTATCTCTCTGTCTCTCTCTGTCTGTCTGGCAAGCACACGCGCCCTATAGTGAAAACCTCTCCAAAAAAAAAAGAAAGAAAGGAAGAATGTATGTTCTCTGTGTGACGAGAACACAGTAATTGTCTTTTTTTCCTTTTCTCCAGTAAAAGAGATGCCAAGATTTTAATTAATCTTTTCCTTCCAAGACCAAGTCTCCATATTTTTTATCTTGTGGTTGAAATCTGGTGAAACTTGGGAATTAAACTTGAATGCTTTATGTGCACAATCATCTAAAAAGACTTCTCAGGCCAAGGACTCCATTGATCAGGGATTAGATCACTGGTCTTGTAAAAAAGGCTTCTTGGGACCAGCAGATGGCATAATAGTTACATCGCTGGACTCCCACAAAGTAGACCACCGTTCAAGTCCTAAACCCACTGACGGTGTGTGTGCGTGTATGCCCAAAATCCTCAGAGAATGAAAGAGAAGGGACTGCAGTGTGGCCATCCCTCCTGAGGAATGATTTCTTGCTTTTGTCTCTGTCTCTCCGGCAAGAGCATATATACCCTATGCCAAAGCTCTCTTAAAAAAAAAAAAAAGAAAAGCTTCTCAGAGACATTGGCTGTACGTTTTAGGGTGATAATAGTGTGTTCCAAATATTTGGAAACTATCACCTTGCCTCACTGATTGTGTCTCTAATTATATTCATCCTAGTTTTCTGGGGCCACATCAGTGAAACCAAAATTTTCAAGATTTTAGTCTCATTCACCAAAGACAAATTCTGGAATAGTGATCATAAACAAACTAGGGATATAAGAGGTCTTCATAAAGTTCATGGAAAAAATGTGTATTATGCGGGCCAGTAGTTGGCATGATGGTTAAGGTAGACCACATTTTGAGCCCCAGACCAGGTGGCTTGAAAACCACACTGGATGCATATGTGCCCAAAGGCCTGAAAGGAGAATGGAGGGGAGCAGACTGTAGCATAGCCATCCCCCAGGGGGTGATTTCTCACTATGTCTTCATGCCTCTCTTCAAGGAGCAACCACACCCTATAGCAAACTAAAAACATACACACAAAAAAAGTGAATATTACGAGAAAATTGCATTTTTCACAATATTTTGCACCAAATAAATGCATATTTTTATTCTATTTTTGCATTAAATCTACTTTTTAATTTTAAGGTTGATATTGTCATAGAAGTCAATGTTCTTAGAGAGTTCTATAAGTTCTTAGAGAGTAGGTTAAGTTCTATAAGTTCTAAGAGACAAGTTAGGGACCAGCAGTTAGCATAATGGTTATGTTGCTGGACCCCCATGTAGTTGACTGCCCTTCAAGTCCCGGACCTGGTGGCTTAAACTCACGCCAGGCGCATGTGCGTGTGTGCCCAAGATCCCCAGAGGAGAATGGAGGAGAAGGGATTGTAGCATGGCCATCCCCCCTGGAGGGGGGTGATTTCTTGCTTTCTGTCTCTCTGTCTCTCTTTCTGGCGAGTGCACAAGCCCTATAGCAAAACGTCTCAAAAAAATAAAAAGAGAGGTTAATCATGCTAGAAACAGCAAGCCCTTATTAAAGTTTTGGTATGTGTCAGGCACTAAGCTAAGTATTTTATATCCATCATTTCATTTCTATTACTTTATTTCCTCCTGACAACTATGAAAAACCACTATTTATAGATAAGGAAACTGAGGTGCAGACATAAAGTGGTTCCCAAAGCCACAGCTATGGAGTAGAATTGCCAAGATTAACACCTCGAGAGCTGGATGTCAGAACTCACATTCTGACATTAATCCAGAAGGTTAGGCCTGACAACAATAAGGTTAGAACCAAAGATGAAATCAGAGATTGGTGGTTCCAGATTAATGGAGAAAAAGTCTGTTGAACTGATCATATCATTCCCTTATTTGAATAGTGTATTAAAAAACTATTTCAGATTTGTCCCGTCACCCAAAGGGGAGTGCTTTTGTGGGCTCTAATTATATCCTATGCCGTGTATATTATTTCTAACTCTTTGCAAGAACTGTGTCCTTTTTACTTCCTTTTTGTTCCCACATTACATGCTCCCCTTCCATCATTGTAAATTTCTTCACTACTTAGTATTTTCACAAACACTGTCTTTGAAATTGTACTTCATGTAAAAATGTAATTACATTGTGATTTTGTTTTGTAGTCACCATTACTTTAAGTACTGCAAAATCTCAGCACTGGCTCTACTGAAAATGGTGATGCATGCCAGATCAGGAGGCAACTTGGAAGTGATGGGATTGATGCTAGGAAAGGTGGACGGTGAAACCATGATCATTATGGACAGTTTTGCTTTGCCTGTAGAGGGCACTGAAACCCGAGTAAATGCTCAGGCTGCTGCCTATGAATACATGGCTGCATACATAGAAAATGCCAAACAGGTAAAAATGTTGTTCCTTAAAG